TCAGCAGGACAGTCCGATCCAGGTGCCCAGGGGAGGCCCTCTGGCACACATGGGGGGACTTGGGTAAGAGCTGTCACTCCTGGTCCGGGGGAATCAGCCCTTCCTACCAGAAGGTGTGGGACTCGTACCAGCTCAGTTAGGGCTTGTGACCTGGGGGAACCCCCTGCTCTTTAAACCCGCCCTAGGGGATGACTCGAACACACTTCACCACGGGGAGCAGCATCCCGCATTTGCTGCCCTGCACCACTGGGCCACGACAGAGGTGGCGGCCACTGTGCGATGCCAAGGGGCCTGCCGCAGCTTCTCTGCTGACCCACCGTGATAGTTTCTCCAAAGCCTTTCTGCGCCAGCTCTGGAGGGTGCTGAGGCCCCTGTCCCAGTGGGTACATCAGGCCCCAGGCAGCCTCTGAGCTCAGCTGAGGGCTCCCCATCTAGTTGCAAATCCAAATTTAGAATAGTGCCAGATTTTAGGGGCAGCCAATGTCATGGTGGCTAAATTCAGTGGCTGGATCCCACATGGCTGACTGTCCAGTTCAAGTTCCAGACCCATGGGTTTGAAAATCATGCCTGGGGCGTGTGAGTGCATGCTTAAAATCCCAAGAGGAGGATGGAGAAGGGCTGCAGCATGGCCGTCCCCTGGGGGGTTGCTTTCTCTCCTTTTCTCTCTGGCGAGCACATGCCCTATAGCAACAACAACACATTTTTTAAAGATAATATTACCAAATATAAATGGAAAATTCAGTTCCGTGTTTGGGTAAGAAATGTGAAATGTCTCTGATACACGCCTGAGAACAGATGCACGTGGCCTCTCCCGCTGGGCCCAGCGCCTTGGCCCCACACCACCTCACACCGGCAGGGTGGGCCTGGGCAGGGCCGTCTCTCAGCTGCAAGATCCGACAGCTGGGAGGTGCAGGCTCCCTGATCCCTTGTCCCATGGCTGCCCAGGCCTGAGCCTCCACTCCTTGGCAGGGAGCGTTGAATGGCCACTCACCATCCCTACCGGCCGGCACGAGCCCATGTGGTCATTGTGGCCATTCCAGCGGAAGAAGTCGGGGTAGTCGCCGTGTTCCAGGATGAACTGCTGGCCTCGGAAGTCGGGGTGATCGAAGCAGACCCAGGCGCCACTCTCCACACGGATGGAGTTCACGCGGTTCATGAAGCCTCGGTCCTGGAAGTTGTCGCAGTCCCCGAAGACCTCCAGCTTCCGCCCTGTGAAATGCTTGCCCTCATAGAGAGTGATCTGGAGTGGGGACAGAGAGCTTGGGGCCAGGGGCCTCTCACCATGCAGTTCTGGAGGTGATGTCTGGGGCCCCACGCTCCCCAGGGAACCCACGCCTGGGCCAGTCGGTGCGTAGAGGCAAAGGGTTAATGGGCCACGCAGCGCAGCCCGGCCCTCCAGCCAGGAGCACAGGGAGCCGACCCAGACCGGGCAGCAGCTCCCTGGGGACAGAGAGCTCCCTGAGGTCTTTTCAGACCTCGCCTGCATTTGGTACTCAGGTTTTACTTGTTATTAAAACACACCATTTGTGGGACCAGCAGATGGCGTAATGGCTATGTCGCTGGACTCCCACATAGTTGACAGTGGTTGAGTCTCGGACCCGGTGGCTTAAAACTCACGCTGGGTGGGAACCAGCAGTTAGCGTAATGGCTATGTCGCTGGACCTCCCACGTAGTTGATCGTGGTTTGCGTCCCAGACCCAGTGGCTTAAAACTCACGCCCGGGCGCATGTGCGTGCATGCCCAAGATCCCGAGAGGAGAATGGAGGAGAAGGGATTGTGGCGTGACCATCCCCCCTGGGGGGTGATTTCTCGCTTTCTGTCTCTCTGTCTCTCTCTGTCTGTCTGGCGAGCGCACACGCCCTATAGTGAAAACCTCTCAAAAAAAAAGAAAAAAAAAATCCTCACGCTGGGTGTGTGTGCGGGCGTGCCCAAGATCCGGAGAGAAGAATGGAGAAGGGATTACAGCGTGGCCATCCCCCCTGGGGGGTGATTTCTCACTTTCTGTCTCTCCGGCAGCGCATGCCCCCTGTAGCAGAAATCTCTCTTTAAAAAGAAAATACCATTCGTAATAACATTGGAGGAAATGTTTTCTAAACACTGCAAGTTGCCCCACAACCGCCATCGCGTCCAGCGTTTCCCTCTCCTCCAGGTCCTGGAATGGGGGCCTCCTTAACTGGGAGGCTGAACCGACCAAGCCCACGCCGGGGCAGGGCCCAGTGAGGGATTCATGCTCTCAAAGCAGGGCTTTGGGGGTGCCGCCCTGTCTGTTCGAGGCCACTCCTTTGGTACAGGCGGGTGTCAGCCTGCGGCCATTCAGGTACCGTGTCCTTCAGCAGGTGGCACTGGCAGGCTGTCCTTGCCCCCAGACAGAACAAAATGAAGCACTTACAATCTCCCACACTCCTTCCTTATCCTGGAGCCTAAAATGCCACCATTTGACTGGGTTTTAAGGACCGTGGAGGGCCCGGTCGAAGTGCAGCAGTGTCACCAGTGACTTGTCCTCGGCTTCCCCAAGGTCTCCTGTTCCCAGAGCTGCCGCCCCAGGCCCGGTGGAGGTGGCTGTGGCTGGGTGCCTCAGTCAGGGAATGCAAGCTTTGCCAGCCTGGGCATGACTGCTTTTCCGAGTTCTTCCCCGGCCTGGGGCACAGGGCAGGGGAGAGTGGGGACCCACAAGGGACACCCTGGCTGTTTTACGCCTCTGAGCGAGCACCGTTTGTTACCAAGGTGTAACGTAGCCCCCAGCCCGAGACTGCGATGCCACCCGCTGGAGGCCTGACTTAGCTTCTGGGGTCCAAGGGCTTTATCACATTAGCCAGTGCAGGGATGCTGGGGAAGGGGGGAGATCCAAATTGGTCTCCCTTCCTGCAGGGCAGGTGTGGCCAGGCGTCTCTGAGACATTCAGGGAGACCTGGGCACCCGAAGGCTTCCGAGGTCCCACAGATCTGAGCGTTTTGCAGAGAGCAGCCCTCGGCGTCTCTGAAGCTCTCCTGCAGAAAGGACAGCCTTGCTGAGGTGTGGGTCGGGGCCCAGGGCCGCAGGGCCGCAGCAGCTCAGGCTAGGACCTGGCCAGGTCTGACGCCCTCTGTTCCGGACTTGGGGCAGGGAGATGGGGAGACCTTTCTGCCAACACCCCCGCCCCGGAGAGGCCTTGGCTGAGTGCCGGAGGCTCGTTTTCATTAAGCCACAAAGCTGGCCTTGCATGGGTTTGTCCTTGGCAAAGGGCCCTGGGAGGACCACTCCCCTCCTCTGCCCTGGGGCTGGGGACAGCAGAGGGTGGCACTCACCTTCCCTGAGCGCTGCGCCATGGTGCTCGCCCCTGCTCCTCCAGAGCCCAGATATACCGGGGGCCGTCTGCTGGGTCAGCGCCGCCCCACAATAGATTTGCTGGGCCTGCCGGGGCGCGTTAGTGCTGTCGGGCGTGCTAAGCCCGCGAGGGGCCGCCTGCAGCTGGGACTCGGACCATGGCGGTCCTGTGCAGCAGCACGTGCGGCCCCGCCCCTGCTGGGGTCTTTGGGTGCCTAGGGAGGTCACCCCAAGGCCTCCGGCCTCCCTGACCGCTCGGTGCCAGCCCGCCCCAGAACTTGCGGTCTTCCGTGCACTTCTGACTGCCCCCTGCACCCACCAGCCCCTGCCCACCCTTGCACTGCCCTCGCGCTGCCCAGTCGGCCTCCTTGTAGCCCCTCGCTCTCTCCCCCTGCAAATCTGCTTAGGCATCACCCACCCTGCCCGGCTGCCTGCCTTGGGCCAGTGACCGGCCCCTACTGCACAGGCCAGGCCACCTGGGTGACAAGGACAGTTCACAGAGTCATGCGGCCTGGCCCACCGGGGGTGTGGAACTCGGGCACAGCAGAGGCTAAGACTGTATGTGGAAGGAGCCAGTGCTGAGTCTCGGTCTGCAGCCCCACACGGCGGGGCCACGGGGGTGAGATGGGGCATGAACCCACCACTCACTAGGTGGCCCCAGCCCTGGTGTGTGTGAACCCGCCACTCACTAGGTGGCCCCAACCCTGGTGTGTGTGTACCCACCACTCACTAGGTGGCCCCAGCCCCGGGTGTGTGTGTGAACCTGCCACTCACTAGGTGGCCCCAGCCTGGGGGGGACAGACTCTGAGATCAAAGGAGAGAAAGACTCAGGGGCCATGGGCCTGGTGGCCAGGGAGGGGCAGGCTGGGCTCCTCAAAGGGAAAGCAGAGTCCACTTTTTTTAAAAAAAGAATGATCTCATTTTATTTATTAGTATTACTTTTCCATTTGACCAGAGAGAGACAGAAAGAGAAAGAGGGAAAGTGAGGGAACCAGCAGTTGGCGTAATGACTATGTTGCTGGACTCCTATGTAGTCGACCACAGTTCAGGTCCTGGACCCGGTGGCGTAAACTCACGCCAGGTGTGTGTGCGTGAGATCCTGAGAAGAGAATGGAAGACAGGGGATTGCGGTGTGGCCATCCCCCTTGGAAGGTGATTTCTTGCTTTCTGTCTCTCTGTCTCTGTCTTTCTGGTGAGTGCATGCACCCTGTAGCAAAAAACCTCTCCAAAAAGTTTAAAAAAAATTAATTTTTAAAAAAGAGGGAAAGTGAGAAAGCAAGCCACCAGCTACAGGACTTGAACCATGGTCAAGCATGTAGCAGTCCAGGGCCTTAACCTCCACACCACCTGCCGGCCCACAGAGTCCACTTCTGTCAACACTGCAGGTGGGCAGCTCCAGGCCCAGGGTGCCTGCCGCCTGCCGCCTGCCGGTGGCCTTCGCTGGCGTCCAGTGCATGCACGTGCCCAGGATCCTGGGAGGAGAACCGAGAAGGGATTGCGGCATGGCCATCCCCCCTGGAGGGTGATTGTTCACTTGCCCTCCCTCTCACTGTCTCTCTCTCTGGAGTGTACATGCCCAAAGGCCAAAAAAGAACACAAACTGTTTTTTAAAGAGAGATTTTTGCTATAGGGTGTGTGCACTCGCCTCGCCAGAGAGACGGAAAGCAAGAAATCGCCCCCGAGGGGGATGGCCACGCCTTATCCCTTCTCCTCCATTCCCCTCTTGGGATCTTGGGCACGCATGCACATGCACCCAGTGTGAATTTTAAGCCAACAGATATGGGACTCGAACAGCAGTCAACTACATGGGAGTCCAGTGACGTAACCGTTATGCCATCCACTGGTACCCCCAAAAACCTCTTAGAAAAAAAGAAATTTTATGGCAATACTCTATGTATCCTTCTGCAATGTGTAAGTGACAAGAACTTCTGAGATGGTAAATGACTAACGCTCGGTAAATAAAGTTCCTCAGAAAACTACATGGGGTCTTCCATCTAGTTGTGTACACACCTGCACACCATCAAATGTTCAATGGATATATAAACCCTGCGAAACTCGCCTGTTTCCCGGGACGGGTGCACAGCTCCTCCTGTGGGACCCTGGGCCCTGGCCCTGCCCACTGGGCACTGGCCCGCCCCTGGCACCCCACAAAGTGCCAAATGCACCGGGACTCTGCCCCGCTGAGGTGCCTTCTCTGGGGGTGAGTGGCTGGGATGAAAGCCCCGCTCCCTGCCCACCTTACTGGTCACTGCAGGGGACCCCTCTGACCCACGGCCCCCCAGTGGGGGATGGAGTCCAGGCGCTCAACGCCTGCCCGCATGTCCGTGGTCCACTCAGATCCGCCCTGTTACAAATGGCTCGTCCAGATCCTTGCCCTTCGCTCTGGTCTCCCCTTGTGGCTGCGGGCTGCCCTGCACAAGCCCTGTCCTCCGCCCCTTGCTGTGTGTTCTCAGCCAAGACCTTGCCCAGCCTGGGGCTCAGACCTGACCTGGGCCGGCTTGTGCTTCTCTGATGGTTTCAGAAGTACACGGATAGCGTGAATGCGAATGCCCACGCCTGCACCAAACCAGAACCAAATCAGTGGGCTGAACATCCGGGCCTACACGCCAGCCTCTTGGCGCCCATTTACCCCCAAATATGGCAGTTTGGATAAATGACGGCCGCTGCAGCCTGACTGACCCCTAGCGGTGGTCACGTGAACTGCAGGTATGTTCCCCCCACCCCCAAATAGCTCTGGGCAGGTGGTAGGAAGATTTTAATTAGAATAAATTCAATACTAGGGACAGTAGTAACAATGACTTTCACTAGCCAGCACCAACTAGCACCTGACATAAAGTAAGTTATTTTACTCTCCCCACATTCCAGTGAGGTGGGTACTATCATCCTCAGGTGACAGGTGCAAAGCGAGGCAGAGTGATCCAGTAACTTAGCCACGGACACACAGCAACTAAGCAGCGGGACTGGGAACTGAATTCAGCATTCACGCCCTTAAGCTCTACCCTTGACATTTCTTCAGACTCCTGCAGTTTCGGTGGGCCGACCAGTGGCACGGTGGTTAAGGACACCAGGTCCCGTGTGCTCAGTTCAAGGCCCCAGTCCAGTTTGAAAAACACAGCCGGCATGTGTGTCCGTGTGTGCTTAAAATCCCAGCAGGGGGAGAGATGGAGGAGGAATTACAGCGGCCACCTCCCATGGGAGGGCTTTCTCTCTCTTTTCCTTTCTCTGTCTCTCTCTGGGCTGCGCATACCCACTAGCAAATTAAAAAAAAAAAAAGAGTACGCCCAGCTGTGTTCCCGTTCTTATTTTAGATCTTGCTTCCCTCTCCTTCACTTAAGTCTTCAACACTTCCTGATCTGATGACTCAAAGGCTGAAAATATGCCATCCTTTAAAAACTGCCCCTCAACATGCAAATTGAAGGTCAGTGAGACATCACTGGGCACCCATTAAGATGGCTGAAATAAGAGACTGACATGACAAGGGGCGGACGCGGGTTCGGGGGCTCAGGCCCGGCCGGCGGTGCACGGCGCAGCTCGCTCTCCTCCACAGGTAAGGGACCTGCACACCTGGCCCGGCACTCCTGCTCCCGGTGCTCGCCTGGGAGGAAGCACACCCCCAGGCGTGCCCTCGCCCCCCAGCAGGGCTCCTCTTCAGTCACCGTCACCCCTAACTGGAGCAGCCCGGGTGTAGCCGGCCAGCTGAGTCCGGCTGCTGCTCCCACCGTCAATGAGAGCAGAACTGGGCAAGAGGGGACCTTATTCTGTACTGGTCACAGGGACACGGGAGCAGGCACCATCACGCCACCCTGGAGAGCGCCACGGGCTGCTGGTGTTATGGCCGCAAGACAGGAGCATGTGCAGGCCCTCCCCACAGCAATCAGGCAGGGTCCACCGCTCCCCCGAGCAATCACCCTGACTGCTTCAAATACCCACTCCTGGCTTCTCATCCGCCCATTCCTCAAAGAGCTCTCCCTATGACTTGGCACGGGGTCAGATGGTTTTCTAGAGGCCTGTCTTTTTTTTAAGGAATTTCGCCACAGGGCATGTGCACTCCCTAGAGAGAGAGAGAAACTCCGGGGGGGCGGGGTAGGGGTGGCCACACTGCAATCCCTTCTCCATTCTCCTCTCGGGACATCGGGCACACATGCACACATGCCTGGCGTGATTTTCAAGCCATTGGGCCCAGGGCTTGAACGGCAGTCGACTATGTGAGAGTCCAGTGCTTTAATCACCAGGCCACCTGCTGGCCCCAGAGGCTTTCTTAATTTCATAAAGGCTGCAGCCCTCTAAACCTTCAACTGGTCTGCTTCTCGGTGCTTGGCAGCAGCCGAAGGGTGACTAAACTGTGGTTCATTTGCACGCGGATCCCGCGCAGCAGTAAGAGGGAGCAAACCGCGATTCGCTTGCATAGCAGGTCTCAGGACTGCCCGAGCCAGGCTGCACACGGAGCCTGCCCAGAGAGCTTTATGTTGGGAGCTTGGGCAGAGGATGTGAATTGCTGGTGCCAGACGGAGCTCAGGACTGCCTGGGCCACAGGTGGTGGTGGCAGATAGGAACTGTAAGGACTACCGCAGGGGGTAGCAGGTGGTTAAAGTGTTGGACTCCCACACACTGGACTGTGGTTCAACCCCCAGACCCGCAGCTCGAACATCATACTGAGTGCATGTGCGTGTGTGCCCAAAGTCCCAAGAAGAGAGCAGAGGAGAAGGGACTATGTCCTGGCTGTCTGCCTGGGGGGTGATTTTTCACTTTCTGTCTCTCTGTCTCTCCCTGTCTCTCTGGCAAGTGCATGCACCCTATGGAAACAAACAAACAAAAAACAACCAAAGAAAGCCCACTGGGAACCTTCCGTGTATACAAACGTTTGATATATATATATTTTAAATAATTCCTCTAACTTTATTTATTTCAATTTTACTTGAGAGAGACAGAATGAGAGAGAAAGAGAGGGAAAGTGAGAAAGCAAGCCAACAGGTCTGGGACTTGAACCACAGTTGGCCATATG